ATCATAAATAAGCCAGATCATATAGAAATGCCCAGTAAATGTGACTATCATAAATAAGCCAGATCATATAGAAATGCCCAGTAAATGTGACCATCATAAATAAGCCAGATCATATAGAAATGCCCAGTAAATGTGACTATCATAAATAAGCCAGATCATATAGAAATGCCCAGTAAATGTGACTATCATAAATAAGCCAGATCATATAGAAATGCCCAGTAAATGTGACTATCATAAATAAGCCAGATCATATAGAAATGCCCAGTAAATGTGACTATCATAAATAAGCCAGATCATATAGAAATGCCCAGTAAATGTGACTATCATAAATAAGCCAGATCATATAGAAATGCCCAGTAAATGTGACTATCATAAATAAGCCAGATCATATAGAAATGCCCAGTAAATGTGACTATCATAAATAAGCCAGATCATATAGAAATGCCCAGTAAATGTGACTATCATAAATAAGCCAGATCATATAGAAATGCCCAGTAAATGTGACTATCATAAATAAGCCAGATCATATAGAAATGCCCAGTAAATGTGACCATCATAAATAAGCCAGATCATATAGAAATGCCCAGTAAAAACAAATATCTAAAAGAAATGTCCAGTAATAACCAAGATCATATAGAAAAGTCCAGTAATAACCAAGATCTTATAAAAATATCCAGTTTGCTGCAGATCATTTACAATAGTTGAAATAAACTTGCTTAAAATTTAAATATTATTTTTTTAATTGTTTAATCATTCTAGCTCCTTTCAAGAATTGTATAAAACACTGCAGTAGAGATAATGTGACTTCCACATAATACAATTAACATCAACAGTGACAAGCACCCAAAAATGTCTGATATGAACACTGATTAATTTTTTATGAGAAGAAAACTATTTATACAAGGATACAGTAAACATTTCTCTGTGCATTCTCTTCTGTCAGTGATTTCATTGGACTTCCATTTCCACTTCAGAACACTATTGTGTGCTAATGCAAGCACTATGTATCCATCATCTGTCTAGGAAAATAAATGTTTAATAATTTCAATTTAAAAAAAATTAAAAGAAACTAATGAATTTGGTTGTAATGTTGTAAAATAGCAAATTTGTCTGTGAAGCAATTAAAGAAAGTATAAAGACATCCTGAACCTATACTTAATTAAGAAAGGTACTGTTCTTTTTTTAAAAAAATGTTTTTTTAAAGAGATGTTCATGTTACATCATGTCTTACTTCTCCACTCAGCCAGTGAGCATCCCATATCCAATCCTCAACATGAAGAATATTTGTCAAAGCAGACAATGTACAGTCTGTCTCTGTTATATTTATCAGAATAACACGTGCTTGCTTGCTTCCAAATACACAAACAAGTTCACTACTCTCCTTCCCTGGACCTTGGATTATTCATAAATATAAGCCGTATTTTCATGTACATAAATATATGCTGAATTTTATCAAGTATGTTTAAATACGTAAAGAATTCCTTTTAACATTGATGTGGTTAAAAACTTTTGGGCTTAGAAAGATATTGACATTATAGATTGCAAAAAAAAAAATGTAACATCTTTCTAATTAACATTTTTAATAATATATAATTATATAATATACATTGTTGAATGATTATTTTGAATATTATATTATCTTCAACCTCTTTTTAGTCCATGTACTGTTGCACCATTAAGAATTTGAGTTCTTGCCTTAAGTTGAGATGTTTTTATGTCAAAAAATGAAACTTCACTACCACAACCTGCAAAATATTGAGATAGTGCATCAAACAAATGAAAATCAAATAAAAAAGATATAGTTTTAATTTTAAATAAAATTAAATATTAAACATGAAAACTACTGCTAGAATATGCCTACTCATCAATCAACATGATTATATCATTTATGTGATGATTTGAATTATGCTTTTTATCAATCAATTAAAAGTTTTCCCTAATTTATCAAGTTAAAATTTGTAGCAAAAATTATATTTTAATTTTTCATATAATTTTTAAATAAAATTTTGGTATTTAATGATTAACAATGATTACTACAAACTTTAACGCATTAGCCAAGTATGCTCAAATAATAGCCTTGTAACTTAATAATACGGCTAATTTGGAGAGATAGTACCCTGACGTCATTTGAGTGTCTTGTCCCTATTTCCGATAGGGTCAAAACCCTGGTTCCGATAGGGTCAAAAGCCAGGTTAGGGATAAGTTTAGGGTTCAGGTTAGGTTTAGGGATAGATTTCGGACATAAATTCGTGGGTCGTCGCAACCAAGATGGCGGCTGCGATACTAATACTATCTCTCCAACTTTACCAGTAAACCATTAATAATACTATGTAAATGTATGAAACTATTAATTAGCCCATGTCATATGAATACGATAAATTTTGTAACATTCTTAATTCAATAATGTCAATGTTAAATGATGGTGATAACCCAAGCAAGGCTAATCATTAATCATTGACATTAATTAATGTCGTAAGTTAATATTTGTCTACTAAAAATATTTTAAAATAAAATAAATCAGAAAAATCATGATCATGTCTTACCGTGTCAGGGTCCCAAGAAGACAACCCTGACACGGCCCTCCACAACATACCGCACAATATTGTCTTATTGATGACAGTGAGAGCTGTTACAGGTCCAGTGTAATTTTCCAGTTCAATTGAATATCTTTCAGTCATTATTTCTAGATACTGCTTTGATACAATATATTCGAAACTATGTTAAGCTGATTATCAACATCTGTTTGAAGTGTTTAGATGAGATGTACATTGTCTTGTCACGTCTTGTGAAACATGTTAAAAAAAATTATTTAAAAGAAACTGAAAGTAGGAAAGTGCAGCGGATATAAGTTTAAAGAACAATGAATAGCCTCCCCTTCCTTACTTGTACCCATTCTTTAAAAGTATTCAAATTCATGTCTAATGCACTTGATTAAAAAAATGATAATAATTTAATAGTATTAGAATACATTAAAGTAAGCGGGGAATTAACGGATGGTTATGTCACAAAATTAAAATTGTCTTTCCAATTAAAAGTGTAGGCCTAACAATTACTGAATTATCGAATGAGACTAATGTATAAGTTAGTATAGGTATAAGGTTACATATTCGATAAAATCCAATAAATGCGATACTCCTCTTTTCACTGTGATATGTGGAAATAAAGTTATTACGTGTAGTGGTATTTTAAATATTTTTTATTTTTATTTTTTATTATTATTATTTTGGGGGAGTGGGAGATTGCATTATGTTTAAGTTGAACGTAAACAACTATTAAATTCACTCTAAGTCTTATGATAGGCATATTTCAAAACAAAGAATTCCAAAAAAAAAACTTAGTCACTAGTCAAAATTCACAAAAATAGCAATCAATTAGTAAGTTTGAACTTTAATTTTAATAAACGCGGAGACAAGCGTCTTATTTAGCGAGTTGGGAGCCCATGAGAGAGGAATAATTCGCTGAAAGGATTGGAAATGTTAAGAAATAATTATAGAGGCACCCGCTCTAATATATCCCTATCAATATGGAATATGCCTTATTAACAATAGTATCCATACCACATATAGATCAAATGAAAGAATTTGAAAAGGCATACAATTATATAACCTTTTATTCATCTTGACAATTACAGCAAAATGACATTCTAATATAGGCCTAAGTGTAAAAATCATCGTAAAGTTTCAAAATATAATTGTAAAATAAAAACTTTATTTTTTGTTTCTTGCCAATTTATATAGAAATTAAAGAAATATGAAATAAAATCCCCTTTTCATCAACAATTCCTGAAAATGGGGAAGGATTTTCAAGCAAGGGAAATTTTGTCACGTGTAGTTGATTATTTCCGTAGAAATTTTGATATCTAGCAGAACGACGTACACCTTTTACTTAGATAATTGTTTTTAGTATACTTTTTACTTTAAAAAAAAACATTCAGATGGTGATTGGCAAAAAAGCTTGTAAAATTTGCTTTTTCGGGCAATTGGTAACAAAAGCCTTAAGTTAAAGTCTAAAGTATTGCGGAATGTTTGTATTTCTTCCAATTTTAAGTAATTTCATTAATTACAATAAAAGCATTTAGAACTTCGGATAGTTTAATCAAGAAAATAATTTTGTTTTGATGACATTACACATTATTTATTTTGACTATGTAAAAATCATATATTTTAAAAAATTTCGACCAAGTATCGTAATTGTCGTAAATGCCCACATTGAAAAACCAATAACATAACACACAGAAGAGTAACCGGCTGCCAAGATGGATGATTGGGGTATGAGCATGTGGTAATTTTAACATATTTTACGTAAAATTTGGTCCAGTTTTTTTGTGCTTTACCAAATTTTAAATGCCACAAAATTAACATTTAAATTTAATTACAGAGAAAGAGGATTTTGATCCAGTGATCCAACCAGGAGGGGTAGCAGTGGCTGCAACGGATAGGTGGGATGGAGAAGACGAGGAAGACGAAGTCAAGGTGACCAATTTTCGATATGTTTAATAAATGTCGTATTTAAAGTTTTATCCCATTATTATTGTTTACTCTGAGTATTGTTTAATTTTGTAATAATTTGATAATATTTCATCAGTTCTACAGATGTTGGCTTACAGTACCAATGTAGGCTATATTTATATAGTTTTATGAAGCATTCTAGACTTTAGGACAGCTGATTGTGCTACTCATTAGAATCAGCTCAGTGTTGAGTGACTAATTCCAAAAATCAGGCTAAAGCTAAGAGATATCACCAGGACGTCATTTGCGTGTTTATTATAGTTGCTGTGAATTAGGGTTAAGGTTAGGTTTAGGGATACATATAATATTATAGGGTTCTTTTCAGGTTAGGCTAGGTTTAGTTTAGGGATACATTTTAGAAAGAAAATAAAATGAGAAGAATACTTAATTTTTTTTAAGTTTACAATTTTGGCTATTGTTGAAAATCATGCTCATGATGTTATTTGCGTGTTTATTAAAGTTGCAGAGAATTAGGGTTTAGGTTAGGTTGAGGGATCGATTTAGGGTTCAGGTTAGGTAGTATAGGGATCGATATGGGTTCAAGTTAGGCATAGGATACATTATTGGCAGAATTAATTGGTTGTGTCAATCAAGATGGCGGCCATCGCGGGCATTATTCTCAACATTTACCAACAATTTAATTTTTATAAAAACTTTTTTTAAAAAATAATGTGAACCCTAGAACTATGCGTTCATGTACTGTTGCCTACTGAAAAAAATTGTTAAATTTGGTATAAAAAGATTAAAATTATTTTTGAAATAAGGAAAACTCAACTCATATATTCAGCGAATACACTTTTACACACTTAATAATTCCAGAAAAGTCTGTTTTATTTACCACCTTTCTTATTGAAGGAAATATTTCTCTAGTCTCTAGCCAACTCCGATTGCTTTAATGCCAAAGTCAAAGAAATGTTTCCAGAATCGCTAGATTGCTAGGATATTGCGAAGAAAAATTACAATGAAACAAGGGCAAGCATGAAAGTTGATACTCTTTCTAACTCGCTTATAACAAAAAAAAAATCAATTGCAATGCTAACCTTCAATTGTCCAAAGAGCTGTTGGACAAATGCAAAAAGGCCACTAGGGATATGCTGGAAAACTGAACGCTTAGCAGCCTGTGTACAAATGTACATAAAATGGATCTTCTGTCCTGTACTGTATATATCTGTATATAAACATTTCCAGTAATTTTTTTTTCTTCAAAGACAATGAAGGTAACTTTATATTGCTTTATTTACTAAAAAAAAAAGGCTTATGATGCATTAGTTAATAGATCTTAATCCAATGGCACCCTTGGGGTCCCCCATAAGGGGGAGTTGCCCCCCCCCCCCCCCCCCCCCCCCCCCCTCCCCCCCCCCCCCCCCTTTTTTTTTACAGATTTTTTTTCTTAGCAAGTTGGCAGGTCTGCATTAATCTATTATATTCCATCAGCATATTAATATATGAAATAGAGTAGTTAACAATCCGCGACTAAAGAAAGTGGATGTCACTCATCAGAAATTCATGAGCGAAATGTCAAGTGTACATTGTTCGAAATTAGATTCATTTGACACATTCATATAGACCTAAACAATAAATGAAAATGAAGTTTATGAAGTCTTTCAAGTTTTGGATGGCCAAACGTGTATGATTAATTAGTATGAAGTTATTAAAATTAAGTTCATTTTGTTTATGTTTGAAATATAAATTCATTTAGGCTACACTTCACTGATGATGATTATACTTCTTCTAGGTTACGTAACATTATTTAACTTTTATTCCTTCATAACATTATTAAGATTAATCCAGGGGGAAAAATCTGAATATAAGCAACCTTTCATGTCTACTTTTTAAAAGACAATTATTTGTATAAATATGACTGTTGATCCTTTGAATGGGAAGATGACCAAAGCAATATTTAGCTTGAGGTGTATTTTGTTTAAAGCGAGGGAAAGTTGCTTAATTCGTCAGACTTGCGATCTGGCCTTGCCTAGACCAGGATGCAGTAGGTTACCAGCAATGTCTCTAGCCTTGCCTAGACCAGGATGCAGTAGCTTCCCAGCAATGTCTCTGGCCTTGCCTAGACCAGGATGCAGTAGCTTCCCAGCAATGTCTCTAGCCTTGCCTAGACCAGGATGCAGTAGCTTCCCAACAATGTCTCTGGCCTTGCCTAGACCAGGATGCAGTAGCTTCCCAGCAATGTCTCTAGCCTTGCCTAGACCAGGATGCAGTAGCTTCCCAGCAATGTCTCTGGCCTTGCCTAGACCAGGATGCAGTAGCTTCCCAGCAATGTCTCTGGCCTTGCCTAGACCAGGATGCAGTAGCTTACCATTACCAGCAATTTTTCGTATGTCTCACTGTCCTCGTTATGCTTGCCACTTCACAGGAGTTGTCAGGATTTTCATTTCCTATTGGGCTCCATGTCCTGGTTTTAATTCTGAGTTTGCCTTCTCTTCGGTGAGTTGCTATCCTAGGCTAATGAGTCCCATCCTCCTGGGGTGCTGGTGCTGTTTTGCTTGTCTTGGCTTTTTGCTGGGGATTGAACTCCAGTCCACAAGCTTGAAACTTACTCAGTTTAGACCGTTCGGCCACCTAGCACCGCAATTACTATAAATATATAGCCCCCTACATATACCAATGGCAGCTATTATAGACCTACTCTTTGCTACTGGCCTCGTCCAGTAATAGCAAATGTTTTTGATACCCAGTGCCCAAAATTAAAATGCATACCCAAAAACCATATATTTATTGCAAGTGCCAACACTGCTATTCAAGATGAAAACTTATGGTCTCATTTAAAAAAAAAGAAAACACATTAACTTGCCTCGCATGTTGATAGAGTGGGCTCTGCAGTGTTGATAGAGTGGGCTCTGCAGTGTTGATAGAGTGGGCTCTGCAGTGTTGATAGAGTGGGCTCTGCCCCCTGCTTGCCATTAGGTATACCCCTACTGGCATTGACTAATGTTTGTATGTTTCTCTTCATAGACTAATCTTCTTCGTCTTCATACTTACTAAGAAAGAAAGTTTGTCACTGATGGAGAGTAGTAAAACTCTCATAATCTACTAACTCCATTATTCTATACATTTTTCTTTTGCTAAATTCAATAGTTCTTAACAAGATTTGTAACTCTCATACAATAGGACAACTGGGAAGATGATGAAGAAGAGAAAAAGGGAGAGCAAACTGATGCCAGTAAACCAGCTCAAGAAAAGTCATCCACTGGTAATTCACTAATAAGCTAAAGTTGTATTAAAGCATAATACTGTTGTCTTTACTTACACAAATTGTTCTTTTATTAACATAAGAAATTTTTTTTTTATTGATCCAAATAAATGGAAATGTCTTTTTATTACATTGTACATATTCAAACGTGCTTTTTTTTATTGATCCAAATAAATGGAAATGTCTTTTTATTACATTGTACATATTCAATTTCAGCACTTAAATAAGTACTTATTCGAATTTTAACAAAGACAACATTTTACAATTCTAACAATTTAAACACAAGTCATCTACGATAGTATTTCTCTAGCCTAGAAATCAGCCATTAATGAACTCCTTTTAGTGACAAAAATTACTTAATGATCATTTAGATTTGGTAAACATTGGGGAGCACGCTGGTAAATTAATGAAAATGGTAAATCACTACAAAAGGATTGATATATTTTATTTAAATAGATTTTAACATTCTAAGTTTTTGTTATTTTAATATTATTTGATTTACTGTTGTAGTGTTAGTATTGTATAGTGTAACACAACTGGTTTTTACCTTCTGCATCTGTGACATTAATTACTCAAATCATGACTAGGTAGATGTTTGAACATAATAATTTTAATTAATATCCTTCTATTTGAATACTATTTTAAATAGCTTACCAAAGGCCTAAAAAGAAACCTCTTGCTGATAGATTAGCTGAAAAGTCACGTGCTAAACAACAAGATGAAGAGAAGCAGGTTTGTCATCTCATGGTTTTTTAAAATTAATATGAATCTAGTGGGAATTAATTTGGTCGGTAATATTGAACCCACATTCAGAAGACTAATCTTATTATTAAAACATATCTTATGAAAGTATAAAGATAACTAATTTTCAAAAGATATGTTTCATATGCCTATTGTGTAAGTAATAAGTTTCTCCTGGTTTATATTATTATAGCAGAAATGGCTAAACATCGATTTCGGCAATGAAATATAATCAGGCCAATGGTAATAGTTTTGAATTTATAATTTAAAGACATTTATAGATAACAAACAATAAGATATCCTACAATAAAATTGCTTGTTATTGTTTTGTCATCATAGTAATAGTTTGTAAAAACTTATTCCATTTCCAATGCATTTGTCTTTAGTTTGTTAAATATTTTGAAACTAAAAAATATTTTAAAAATAGTTCATTAGAAAGTTGGAGTTACTTCCCTTTTTTCAGGCGTACTTTAAAGGAAGTATAGCAATGGTTTGAGGAATTTTTTCCCCAAGCTGATCTAAGTGCTTTACTTTTGTGTTGCCCCGATTGGTAAATAAGAAATTAAACACTTCAATCCATTCAATCATGAAATATGCCCCACAAAGTTTCAGTGATGCAATTTTTTAAAGGACCAAAGCTGCTTATTTTTGGGGGACATATGTTCCAAGAGAAAAGCCTAAAGAAGTGGAAGTGTTTAACTCTCTGCAGTCTGACGTTTTTTTCACATTTCTTAAAAATCTTAATGTGATTTTTTAAAATAATTAATTAACTGATCTGAAATAGCTCTGATCTGATCAGTTAAATATATTAACTTGTTCATCTTTGACTCAGCTATCATAAGATATTTTTTGTATATTTTATTTTCTTAGTTATAAAAATAATTGAAACATTATTGGAGAATTATTTTTTTTCATTTTATGCAAAAATTTGACCAAATCTTTACACAGTATGAAGGAAAAAAAAAAAATCCTTGTTATAAAAGATTTAAAATTTATTTAAATAAAATACTTCATCAACTTATACAATTCATAGTCAAACATGACAAAAATTCTTTGAACAATCAAAAAGTTGTCAACATTTTAGCAAAACCTATATTTTGTCTTTTTTTCCTAAAAAATGCACTATAATTTTTCTTTTAATGAAAATTATGTTTTGTATGTAATATATTTTAAAAAATGGGTCTCATAGCTTATAGATTTGTATATTAAATATATTTCTTAATAATTCTTGAGTAAAAGATGACTAAGTAAAATTTGATGAATATATAAATAACTCAAAACAAGAGTCAATTTTTTTTTTTTTAAATTTTAAAATAGCGGTATTCGCTGATGTTAAAGTTAAAAAAAATTAAAATGTATCAGTACAATAATGCTAATTTTGATATTAATGTCAAATACGATCCATTCCTCACTAATGTGATCTATTTTTTCCCATGTACCGGCATTTTTATATATCTGTGTTATAATCCTCACATAACACAGGCTGATAAACTACAGTACAGTATTCCTTAATTATATTTATGGACTCTGAACAAATATTATTTCTTAAAACAGTCTGCAGTTTTATTATAATAATTATATTTGATAAATAAGAGCTTGTCCTGGACTTGATTTCTACATAAGATTAGGTAAGATTTTTCACCACAGAATATTCACTCAATAAAGAACCTGTGGAAAAAAAAAAATTGATTGATTCATAAATAAATTAACACTAATGGTATCAGTAATGGTATGCTATCAGTAAGGGAAAATACCATTAATCCTAGTCCAAGTGCCTAAATTAGTATAAAAGTAAACCATTGTACATAGAAAATACATTATAACATATGTTATAACAATATTGTGAGTTTATTCTTTATGCATTTTGCTACCAAGTGATTAGATTAAAACTTACCACCACTTGTTTTTAGGGTAAAATCTTCAAAGATATTCATCCAGTAACTCTGTAACTCAGTAAAAGGGTGGAGTCCAGGCTTAATATTTAGGATCAATAAGGAATAAGGGCTTCTTGATCCAATATCTGCATTTTTGTCTCTCTCTCCTCCTTCCCAATAGAGTTAGAGAGCTTTTAATAAAAACATAAATGTTTTTTTTTTTATTCTGCCGACAGTAGTCTCTACTAATACTAGTGACTAGCGATAATGATAATTAAATTTAAACACATTTCTACTATGCAATATTAGAAAATTTAGAAGATTATTCTTGGCTGTAACATATTTTAAAGAAATATATTTAGTTAATAACTCAGAAGTCCTTAACTTTAAATTTATTTAATTACGCAAGTTCCAATCGACCGAAATTTTCCGCTATTTTTTTAAAATATTTATTTCGCATAGCGACGCTATTTATTTATTATATAATTATTGAAACTCAATAAAATTCAAATAGAATACATCAATGTAAGTATAAATGGATAATATATACTTCAGCCAATTAAAATTATAAAAATATCACTTTATTGTTTTATTATTAATTTTAAAGTCGGGAAATAATAATTAAAATTAAGCTTACTTGTTTACGATAGCATTAGTCGGTACTTTTATATGCAAATCGTGATAAATTTCATGATTAGAGTCTCCATTTGGATACATTGCTTTAGACAAACAAATAACTCCTTGATAAATCGGGAAATTAAAATCATTTGACAATATTCATACTACTATTTAATTTTTTTTGTGAGACTTATATTTTTTGTTTTTTTGGAAATCTGCGAAGCTTTCAAGGGATACTCCGCGCTGAATAAGTTTCCAAAAATATTTTTTTTAAATAGTAATTTCAAATTTTGTAATAATTTTAATTTTTTTACAAATACTTAAACCAATGAAACAAATTATTAAAATATAATAAATAATTTTTTTCAATAAAAAAAAAAGTTAAAAAATAAATAACCCACCCACAAATTCTATGGTACTTATATGTACCATTTCTCTATAGTCGGACTGCAGAGAGTTAACAGATCTTACGTATTGATTGCAGTTTTAATATTCACTTTGTTACTGAAGTGGATTTTAATGTTGTAGTAAACGTTTTAAAAAAATGTATTCACAGGAAGTCAAAGAATTAACGGCAGAGGAAAAGCTAGCAGAGAAAATACGATTACAAAAGATCCAAGAGGAAGCAGATTTAAAATTAGCCAAAGGACTTTTTGGTATGGAGTTCTGTGATAATTTAAACTTTTTAATAACTTTGAATCTGCATGTGATAAGCTTTGTAGAGTGGGGAAAAATATTCTGCAATTGGCATTCAATTTTCAAGGACATGTACTTCACATCACCAAAAATGTTTGATGTTACGTTTCCAAGTAAGGGAAATAATGTCATGGCAGACGGTCTAAGAACTTAGTTCAACTACACTGTTGTAAGAAATCTAAAACTGTGTCATTATTTCTGAAGATGTCATATTTCTTTGATGATGTAATTGGACGTGTAATGCAAGGGGGAAAAAAGCTATCTAATTACATCTTTCTTTGCTTTAACAGGAGTAGGGGAGACTTCAGGTATTGACAGTATGTATCCTGAAACCAAGGAACAGTTTGATCAGTTTGAACAAGCACTCAAAACAAAAATTACATTTTTTGAGGTAATCCATAAAATAACGTTTGAAAAAAAGCAATAGTTATGACACCTACTAGTCTCCATTGTGCTGAGATGAAGGATTTATAGTTATTAGATAAAAGCTTCTTGTGTTACATTCAATGATGGTTTTCCACGGCACAGTTTTGTGAAAGAAATATTTAGCACAACATATGTACGGTATAAGCTTGAATAACAAAACTGGGCAATGTAATGGACATTTTGGCTGAATAGACATACTCTGCAACAACACAAAGTACACAAAAATAAATAGCTATTTCTCTTGTCTAATTCTCTTATGTGTAAGGTGACTTGTCAAATTTTTGCAGTATTCATTTGCCAGTCTATAGAAGACGTTGTAGACAACTGATTGAGAACCTCTTGTTTCCATTTCCTGTTAAGATCAATTAAACAAATCCAAATGAGTAATGTCCATCAGTGAGTCCACATATCTCACCTAGGTAAACATATCAGTCAGAGATCCAGATATCTCACCCAGGTAAACATCAATCAGTCAGTGATCCACATATCTCACCCAGGTAAACATATCAGTCAGTGATCCACATATCTCACCCAGGTAAACAGTCAGTCAGTGATCCACATATGTTACAGTCAATAAAGTTATGTACTTGAGTAGACCAATCTCTTTTAACAGAAAAATGTTGGCAAGATCTTTTTTGATTGAAATCAACTTAGCTCTTGAACCAGAGCTATCATTTATTTATTTATTTTTTAAATTATTTTTTTTATTCTTTTGATTTACGGCTCTCATTGAATGATTATTTTTTCAGAGTAGCAAACTGTATCCAGCATTTATAGATAAGCTCTTTCATGACATTACATTAACAAGTAAGTGCCATAGTTGTCCTTGATGTGTTGGGCAACATAATGGTAGTGAAGCCTTGTCATCAAAATTAACTGGTCTTAATATTTGTTAAATGCCTTTGATACCGCTGTTTCAAGTGAATATCTTTGAATAGTTTCCATCTGTCTTCTGCTATATCTTATTAACTAATGGATGTTATTTTAATGGTTAGTGGCAGCCGATGATGTCAAAAGAATTGCCAATGCTGTGACTGTATTGTATCATGAAAAGGAGAGACAAAGAAAGGTATGTTGAGTTGTTAATTTTTGTACACAGAAATAAAGGCATCTTTGAGAACTGTGAGCTGCATAGCAGTTCTAAAGAAAACAAAACTTCTCTTGATATTTTTATTAATTACTTTTTTCTGTCCACAACCTGTCACATATATGGAAATTCTTACAAATTTGAAGTATATCTTATTTGGAGGTGCACTAATAGCTTGTGTGTTACATTTATAATTTGATGGGTACTGCCCATGCTCTTATATACCAGTATCTAAAGTCGGATATATATTGACTGTTCCCTTTACACCTGTTCTCTCTTTAACCTTCAAAAGCATATTGAAACAGAAATGAACATTATTCTAAAAGCTACAACGTGGAGGCTGCCATTTATAACGTCACATGAGAAATCCCCCCTGCACACCACGGGCCAAATGCCGGGTCTAATCGCCACCAGACCGTGCGGGGGTCATGTGGGGAACCTCCCTCTGGCATGGGGGACATCCGGTCGACCGGCGTTTGCTGTCCACTCTCCCTAAGAGTCTGGGTGGGTTTCCTTCCCCTTCGGGGGGATTGGTGTTGCCTTACCACCCCCCAAGGAGTCTTTCGGTCGAGACGAAACGGTCGCCTAGGAGCGGCTTTCTCACGGCCACGTAGTTTTAGTCATCGGAATGGGCTTTAAACGCCAACCAGACCTCATATCCATTAACGGCAACATGTAATCATGTTACTTTCGTTGCGTTGGAAGTCGTGCAAGCAGCCGGGGTTTTTTGCTTCTGGAGAACAGTACCTCACTACGGGTCTGGCACGCCACGTAGAGGCAAACCCCATGTGACACCACCAAGTCGTCTTGGCAATGTGGGACCCTGACTTAGAGGCATTCAGTCACAGTCCCTCAGGTGGCTGCCATTAATAGGTTAAATCAGTTAATATGTACAATAAAATAAGTTTTCTTTGAGCCTGCAGATCATTTACCATTATTATTTGGCCCTTTAAAAAAAAAAAAGGTTAGTAGACCCTGAAGAAGTCTATGTCAGTGATGAAATGACTTAAAGATTTGATTGCATGCTGATTGAATATTCCAGTTAAATTGGTCCCATTTGTCCATGTTATGTTTCAGGAACAGGCCAAAACTCAGAAGAAAAAGAAACCAAAAGCCACAATCAGGGTCGATAAAGCCGATGATTTGGGCTTGGCGGATGTGGCGGAAGGCAATTATTATGATGATGAAGATGATGACTTCATATAGCACTTATGTACATAGTAATTAGTTGTTCTTTTGTTTGTAAGTTTTTTTTTCATATTTAATTTGTCTGAAGCTGTTGTCTTTCCACTGTGCCTAATTTTAATTTCTATACTGTCCTGTTGTCATTGCCCTTTGAAACTTCCAATGGTAAAATTAGAAATGATGGCTGCTCTTGAAAAGTTTGATATGCTGCTCTTTAATAGGCCTCCTCGTCAATTTATCTAAATCCTCTAACATCTTTTAAAGTTTGCTACAGTTAATGGCTTTTGAAATTATCATTTTCTCTGCATTTTAATTAAAGTTAGATGCAGTAATATCTTGAAGAATGGCACAAAGAAGTAAAGGATGGGAAAGTCTATTTTTGGGGGTGGGGGTGTATAATCTTAACTTCAAAATTAGCATGGAAAATGGTTGTGTGAAATAAAAAGGATTTGCTCAGAATAGAACAACCATGTCATTATTTGTCTTTAAATGATATTTTCAGTACAGCTTCTGTGGTTCATTTGATTCTTTTTCGCTAAATTTCTCAAATCTCATAATGCATGAGGTTTCAAATTCTTTTTAAAACAGTTTTGTATCTGGTGGAAATTTTGCAACTGTAAATTGAAGTGTTAAAAAAGTGACTTTTATTATTTAAGCAGTTTTTTTTTACATATGAATTAATTAATTTTATTTGACATAGAAAATCAAAGCTTGAAGCTCATAACTATAGGTAGAAGCTAACACATGAGTTTGAACATATTTGTATGCAGACACAATATCATTTTGAACATATTTGCATGCAGCCACAATAAGCTGTCTTTGATGATTCAATTGCCTGTTATAGAAGCTATAAGAATAGCTGTTTGTAACTGTGCTAGTAGCTTAAAATGGTAGTGAAAGGGTTACAAATACAAGTTAAATGGTTTTTAAAATACAGTCATTTCTGTATATGCAAGTCAATAAGTTTAAATAAGCTGAAATGATTTTGTCATTTTATGTCATTGAGACATTGAATTCGACACTGGGTAATGGTTTGTGATGCTTGTATCCCTCCTAAGTAAGGAATTGATACATGTGCTTCTATAGCACCGGTATCTGTAGAAGAATTTCATTTGGAATGGGTTACACAAGTTCTTTTTGTTTTAAAATACCGATTGATCATTGACATTTTGATAGAAAAAATGTTCTGCAATGTTTATCATCCAATTATTTGAACTTCATGTTGATGTTCATTTTGTTAGGGAGAATGTAGTTGTCCAGCTTTTTTTTCCATTCTGTTCAATTCTCATTGCCCAGTTGAAGTGAACCCATTGATGCCCAGTTGAAGTGAACCCAATTGATGCCCAGTCCTTAAACCACTGCTTCTGGCTCTAATCACAGAGGATAGTTTGAATGGGTTGTCTTTTATTTGCAATGCAATATTCATAATTTATACATGTTTTCAGCTTCACAAAAATAAGTTTTAAAACTGAATAAATGCATGCCGAATTTGATGATTTAATCATGAAAATTGAATACATGATATCTGAATAAGACAAATGCAAATTTTTTTTAAAAATCTATGTAAATACATGACTATGTTGCTGGGCTCTAGGTAATCTGATTGATTTTGATAGAATATCACAGTTTTTTTCTGTATAATTGAAGAATGTGCCGCTTCCTGTGTCAGTAATGATTTGAGTTTTATGATCATGCATTCTGTTCACATTCTGGCCAACTGGTCAAAGGATAAAACTCATACAATAAAACAATACAAATCATTCTATGTTTGTCATATTTATTTTCTTGACTGATTTTTGGGCATGAATAAAAATTCTATTATTAACCAATGAGCACATTCCCCGGGACTCCTGTAGCCTTTCAATAGAGCAGAATAGTTATTGCCATACTATTTCGTTAGTTATTGCCATACTATTGTGTTAGTTATTGCCATACTATTTTGTTAGTTATTGCCATACTATTGTGTTAGTTATTGCCACACTATTTTGTTAGTTATTGCCATACTATTGTGTTAGTTATTGCCATACTATTGTGTTAGTTATTGCCATACTATTTCGTTAGTTATTGACAACCTATTTTGTTACATTATGTAATAGTATTTTAATTTTATCATTTAAAACATTTTGTAACTTTCTGTTGTTTCTTACAAACTGTCTTCTGTCTCTATTTACCTTTATGTATATTGTATCAGTTATTTACCGTCAGGTATATTGTCAGTCTCTGTTTACCTACAGTTATGTTGTCAGTCTCTATTTTACCTTCAGGTATGATGTCTGTCTCTATTTACCTTCAGGTATGTTGTCTGTCTCTATTTACCTACAGGTATATTGTCTGTCTCTATTTACCTACAGGTATGTTGTCTGCAGGTATGTTACTGTTATTTACCTTCAGGTGTGTTGTCTGTTATTTACCTTCATGTGTGTTGTCTTTTATTTACCTTGAGGTGTGTTGTCTGTTATTTACCTTCAGGTGTGTTGTCTGTTATTTACCTTCAGGTATGTTGTCTGTTATTTACCTTCAGGTATGTTGTCTGTTATTTACCTTCAGGTATGTTGTCTCATTTACTTACCTGCGGCTACTTTTCTTCGCAGTCAAGCTACTCCCTGTTAACCTTTAACCACAGATAAGTGTTTTTTTTATGAGGCAGAATTTGTTGATGTTTTGAAGAAATCTTCGAAACACTTTAATGGATTTCAGCAACTTGAAAGGGCGATCCCGTTATGAAAAGAGAATAAAGAGAGCAATTTAATTTAAAGTGAAAACATGAAAAGTTATCACACAACTCGTGAACAACTGAACAACGTGGATAAATGAACAAACACCTAAAAAAATTAACTTGGCTCATAATAATAACAACACTGATTGCTGCTAGAAGTTGAAAGCCGCGTGTATTCTTGAAGGTTGCTCAAAAGTAGATAAAATTGCAACTGCTAAATGAAATGGCATAGCCACGATTGTTTTTTTAAAGGGAGATGTGGGGTTGTTGAACAAGCCCCCAAAGGCGACCTAGTGACCTCTTCAACAGAATTTTTTTAAATGTCTGCTCCCTCCCTGATCAAAGTGACAGTGAAAGTACCTTGACAGTACCGTACTAGTTTTAGCAACTTTTTATCTTAAAGAAAAAGCACTCTATTTTGACTATTAAAATTATTTTCTTGAACTTAGGAATATATGATGTTCCTTTTAGTTTGCTATAGATATGTAGTTATTCTTATACATGTAGTATGTAGAATCCAGGTACGAAACTAAGCTGAGGCAAACAGCATACCCCCAGGGGCGCCACAACTGAATGAGTTTATGTCTGGCCCTGGGAAACATGACTCATTTTGGAGCCTCCCCTTCCCGAACTCCTGCCCAATTACCCCCCCCCCCCCCCATTTATTTGAATGGGTAAGAGAGGTTTAAGGGGGGCTCGGTGCATTACTTTGCCCAGGGCCCCCGATGCTGTTAAGGTGGCGTTGCTCCAAAGGGGGGGGGGGTGACCCCCTGAATACGCCCCTGGATAAATGTTTAGGCAAACTAAGTCAAATAATTGCCTAGCCCAGTGGTCGGAAAATCGCGAGCCGCATGCGGCACTTAAATGACCAGAGTGCGGCTCGGCCACAAATCGTGCTGGACTCTGAAAAACATGGTTCTTGACAGGTTCTTGAAAAGAAATTTGGCGCTTAACAAAATGTTAATCGTCCTGCTGCAGATTTTGTTTGCTCTTTTGACTGAGTTTTCCGACCACTGGCCTACTTTTGACTAATGAGTTTTCCGACCACTGGCCTACTTTTGACTATTGAGTTTGCCGACCACTGGCCTACTTTTGACTAATGAGTTTGCCGACCACTGGCCTACTTTTGACTAATGAGTTTTCCGACCACTGGCCTACTTTTGACTAATGAGTTTGCCGACCACTGGCCTACTTTTGACTAATGAGTTTGCCGACCACTGGCCTACTTTTGACTAATGAGTTTTCCGACCACTGGCCTACTTTTGACTTATGAGTTTTCCGACCACTGGTCTAGCCGGTCGAAACGATTTCTAAAGACGCCACGGTTATTTCTCTCCTTAACACTCTGGTGAGGGAACCTCTGGACCGTAGCCACGGTTATTTCTCTTCTTAACACTCTGGTGAGGGAACCTCTGGACCGTAGCCACGGTTATTTCTCTCCTTAACACTCTGGTGAGGGAACCTCTGGACCGTAGCCACGGTTATTTCTCTCCTTAACACTCTGGTGAGGGAACCTCTGGACCGTAGCCACGGTTATTTCTCTCCTTAACACTCTGGTGAGGGAACCTCTGGACCGTAGCAACGGTTATTTCTCTCCTTAACACTCTGGTGAGGGAACCTCTGGACCGTAGCAACGGTTATTTCTCTCCTTAACACTCTGGTGAGGGAACCTCTGGACCGTAGCCACGGTTATTTCTCTCCTTAACACTCTGGTGAGGGAACCTCTGGACCGTAGCAACGGTTATTTCTCTTCTTAACACTGGTGAGAGAGCCTCTACCGTAGCCACGGTTATTACCTTTAACGACTCGAGTGAGAACCTCTGTACCGTAGCCACGGTTACTTCTCTCGACGACTCGGGTGTTGGATGACTTGTCGAGTTATTGGAAAAACATTGATGGAACATAAAAGTCCCAAAATAAAGCTCGCGGAAAGCTATACGGCGTTGTCTGACGGTGGAACAGCGGACGAGCCACGCAGACACGAGCGGTGAACCGAGCCGAGCGGGATGTCTTGTTTTCTTGTAAGCCCCCCCCCCCCCCTCTCTTCATTGCGGGCGCTTGACTCGGGCGCCGGCGCACGGTCTTATCTCCATATGGCTTCAAACTGCCCAAAACAACGAGATCAGAGCGGTAGTGCTAGTGAACGGGGGGTGTGAACCCTCCCGGCGGCTCAGGTGAAAAGGACAAGACGGGCGTCTGACGAGAGCCGCGGCGATGGAGATCATATGGCCGGTTGGCTTGGGTGATGTTGTATTTGATAAAAACAGAGCGCTTTCCTCTACTAAGTAAACAAAGAGCTCCGGCTGGAGGTGGATTTCCCCTTCCAAGCCTCCACATTCCCTTGGTATCCATTGAGTGTTGGTTGGGATCACTTCCTTTGAATGATGAGATGGCCAACTCATTCGATGCTCACCTGGACAGTGGATTAAAGCAATGTTTACAGGTAAGTTTTCGACTTTTTGATTTGATGACAGCAACATTAAATGAAGAAAAAACAACCATTTAAGCTTGACATTCTACCTAGTATTTGAGGACGGCCAAAGTGTTTGGACAACTGTCAACTAAAGTTCCCTGCACGGTTCGATTTCTTTGGTAACTATAGACTCTTAAAATACATCTCTTAATAATGCACATGGAGTGGCGTGCCAAAATACATTATCCAGGCTTGTTGTTATGAACTCTTTATCGTGAAACCGGCTTTTGAAATAATCGGCTGTATAAGTAAGTATGTGAACTGAAATCCATGGATTGAATTTGGATTTATTTAAGTTAACTCCTACCCTAAATGGTGTATTCTGATTTATACGAAAATCAGTCATTGTTCAATCATGGTACAGTCATTGTTCAATCATGGTACAGTCATTGTTCAATCGTGGTACACTCATTGTTCAATCATGGTACAGTCATTGTTCAATCGTTGTACAGTCATTGTTCAATCATGGTACAGTCATTGTTCAATCGTGGTACAGTCATTGTTCAATCATGGTACAGTCATTGTTCAATTGTGGTGGTCATTGTTCAATCGTGGTACAGTCATTGTTCAAACATGGTACAGTCATTGTTTGATTGTGGTACGGTCATTGTTCAATCATGGTACAGTCATTGTTCAATCGTGGTACAGTCATTGTTCAATCGTGGTACATTCATTTTTCAAACATGGTACAGTCATTGTTTGATCGTGGTACGGTCATTGTTCAATCATGGTACATTCATTGTTCAATCATGGTACAGTCATTGTTCAATCATGGTACAGCCATTGTCCTTCTATGTTGGAATGGGGTCTCTTGCAAACTTCCATGTGGGAGTGGGGTCTCTTGCGAACTTCCATGTAGAGGGGATCTCATGGGTACTTCCTATTGGGTCTGGGGTCTCTTGGAAACTTCCATGTTGGAGGGGATCTCTTGGGTCCTTCCATGTGGGAGGGGATCTCTTGGATCCTTCCATGTGGGGAGCGGGGTCTCTTAGGTAATTCAATGTGGGAGGGGATCTCTTGGGTACTTCCATGTTGGAGGGGATCTCTTGGGTAATTCAATGTGGGAGGGGATCTCTTGGGTCCTTCCATGTGGGAGGGGATCTCTTGGATAATTCAATGTGGGGGGGGGGGCGGGATCTCTTGGGTCCTTCCAGGTGGAGGGCGGGATCTCTTGGGTAATTCAACGGAGGGGGGGGATCTCTTGTTTATTTCAGGAGGAGGGAGTTTCCTGTTCACTTCACTGGGAGTAGGGGGTCTCGTGGCTGCGTCAGTGGGAGGAGGGGGTCTCATGGCTGCGTCAGTGGGAGGAGGGGGTCTCGTGGCTGCGTCAGTGGGAGGAGGGGGTCTCGTGGCTGCGTCAGTGGGAGGAGGGGGTCTCGTGGCTGCGTCAGTGGGAGGAGGGGGTCTCGTGGCTGCGTCAGTGGGAGGAGGGGGTCTCGTGGCTGCGTCAGTGGGAGGAGGGGGTCTCGTGGCTGCGTCAGTGGGAGGAGGGGGTCTCGTGGCTGCGTCAGTGGGAGGAGGGGGTCTCGTGGCTGCGTCAGTGGGAGGAGGGGGTCTCGTGGCTGCGTCAGTGGGAGGAGGGGGTCTCGTGGCTGCGTCAGTGGGAGGAGGGGGTCTCGTGGCTGCGTCAGTGGGAGGAGGGGGTCTCGTGGCTGCGTCAGTGGGAGGAGGGGGTCTCGTGGCTGCGTCAGTGGGAGGAGGGGGTCTCGTGGCTGCGTCAGTGGGAGGAGGGGGTCTCGTGGCTGCGTCAGTGGGAGGAGGGGGTCTCGTGGCTGCGTCAGTGGGAGGAGGGGGTCTCGTGGCTGCGTCAGTGGGAGGAGGGGGTCTCGTGGCTGCGTCAGTGGGAGGAGGGGGTCTCGTGGCTGCGTCAGTGGGAGGAGGGGGTCTCGTGGCTGCGTCAGTGGGAGGAGGGGGTCTCGTGGCTGCGTCAGTGGGAGGAGGGGGTCTCGTGGCTGCGTCAGTGGGAGGAGGGGGTCTCGTGGCTGCGTCAGTGGGAGGAGGGGGTCTCGTGGCTGCGTCAGTGGGAGGAGGGGGTCTCGTGGCTGCGTCAGTGGGAGGAGGGGGTCTCGTGGCTGCGTCAGTGGGAGGAGGGGGTCTCGTGGCTGCGTCAGTGGGAGGAGGGGGTCTCGTGGCTGCGTCAGTGGGAGGAGGGGGTCTCGTGGCTGCGTCAGTGGGAGGAGGGGGTCTCGTGGCTGCGTCAGTGGGAGGAGGGGGTCTCGTGGCTGCGTCAGTGGGAGGAGGGGGTCTCGTGGCTGCGTCAGTGGGAGGAGCGAAATGGAGGTCGTGTTTTAAGTTCTCTGGTATGATAGCACTAACCTTGTTCCCTAGAGGCCAACAATGTCTCCTTGAGGCCAACAATGTCTCCTTGAGGCCAACAAAGTCTCCTAGAGGCCAAAAATCAACAATGTCTCCTAGAAGCCATCAATCAACAATGTCTCCTTGAGGCCAACAATGTCTCCTAGAGGCCAAAAATCAACAATGTCTTATAGAGGCCAACAATGTCTCCTAGAGGCCAACAATCAGCAATGTCTCCTAGAGGCCAACAATGTCTCCTAGAGGCCAACAATCAACAATGTATCCTAGACGTCAACAATGTCTCCTGGAGGCCAACAATGTCTCCTGGAGGCCAACAATGTCTCCTAGAGGCCAACAATGTCTCCAAGAGGCCAACAATGTCTCCTAGAGGCCAACTATGTCTCCTAGAGGCCAAAAATCTCTCCTAGAGGCCAACAATGTCTCATAGAGGCCAACAATCAACAATGTCTCCTAGAGGTCAACAATGTCTCCTAGAGGCCAACAATGTCTCCTGGAGGCCAACAATGTCTCCTAGAGGCCAACAATCTCCCCTAGAGCCCAACAATGTCTCCTAGAGGGCAACAATGTCTCCTAGAGGCCAACAATGTCTCCTAGAGGCCAACAAT